ACATATATAAAGAGCTGGGAAGCATTTAAAAAATAAAAATCTTTACACTAGTATATATGGGCTCAGAATCACCTATAGTGTCCACATAGTTACTGATTTCGATCAGAGCAAAGACCGAAGCGCAGGCCGCTTGTGGTCACATGATGACTCTGAGGTGTTGCATCGTCTAATGACTGAAATAAGTGAAAACGGAAACCAATGTCGTCTCTTATGCTCTATACTCTTACTTTCGAAACAAACCCATTTGATCTCCTGATGCAGATAATAAGACATCTGCATCAGGAAAGCACAAGAGAGAGATAACGAAACTAACAAAATCACTCATGTCTGCATTAAAAGTGTCCCAACAGTTACTTAGACCTGGCACCTTAGCAGCTCAGGCCAGGCTAATGTAGGGCGGTACAAAGCCTGTTACATATATTCATTTGAATACAATAATTATTTTACATCATATTGTCAATTACATGTCAATTTTTTTTTTAAAGGCATAGAAATTAGTTGGTTTTTTTTTTCAATGTCACCCTGCGACACAGAAGTTTTTCACAAATTCAAATTTAGGATATTAAATGCAATTTTTTTAAAAAATTTTTTTTTTTATAAATGTTTTCTTTGTGTGTGGTGTCCACAGCCTCTGGTGCTCCCTCCCAGTGTGAACGAAAACCTTCTGGACTTCGGTGTCCGCAGTGCAACAGACACCAGCAGCATCACGTTTGTGGTGGTCAACAGTAATCCCATAGAGGTACACGCTTGTGGTAGCTTTTCTTGCTAAGTCTTTTTTTTTATATTTGAACTGACCTGACGTCAGATAAAATGAAATTGTGTATACTTTGTTTTGTCGTAGTTGGAGATCAAATCCTGGTTGGTCACTGGCGACAGTCTGTCCATGGAGCTTTTAAAGACCGAGAAAGGAAACACAACAGTAGCCCTGGGTCGCTTGCGGGAGCTGCAGAACACAACAGCGTCACCTCTAAAAACTGTAAGACGTCATTTTTTTTTAAATAAAAAAAATTTTTTTTTTTTAGAAAGAATGGCTACACTGTTAGGAGTGGAGATTCTACAGATGTAGATCTGGGTAATTCCCTCATTTACTGAGCTAAAACTTTGAATGCACTTTGAATTATGAAATTTCTTCCTTTTTTTTCACACCGGTATTTTCAATGAAATATCTCAAAACAAATATGAAATATTTGACGTAAAACCAAACCTATTTTGGTGAGAAGGGAGAGAAGAATGAAAAAGTCAAGGACCATGACTGTGTCTAGTCCAGTCAAATCAGAGCTGATTTCATCATGTAAATGTGAAGAACAGATAAGAACGGGAGCCGCCTGAGCAACGTTTGTTGACTTTAGGGCGCGACACCTCACTCGAGATCCAATCATAGCATTCCTGTGAATAGACTACAAGACGGCATGAAGCCAGGAGCTCGACTATTCTGGTCAATTTTACTGTACACTCAATGCAAATTGTGTGGACTATTTGATTTAAAAAAAAAAAAAAAAAACATGACAAATTTGAGTTCTCTGCAGACATGTCATCCTGACATTCAGGCATATTTTTTTTTTTTTTTTTTTCAATAGTTCATGCATGTTAGAGTATGTGCAACGTTGATCTCGAATTTTACTGGAACTTTGAAAAATCCTGTGGGTCCCCATTTGTGACTTCTAAAAATATATTTAATAATTTTTGTCTTAAATCTGGCAGTAACGTTTTAAATAGGATCTTGTTCTGAATAAACTGTAGTTGTTTATAAAATTCATATTTAACTTTATTATTGAAATATTATTCATCATAATAAAATTCCATGTGGATATTATTCATATTTCACTTTATTATTGAAATATTATTCATCATTTCACCGTTATTATTTGTCTAATATTTATAGGTGATATTAGCATCAGGCTACTACGCAGCCTTCAGAGTGACACTCGTGGCCAACGCCCTGGAGGGCACCTACGACGGAGCCTTACATATTACCACAGATTACGAGGTAAGATGGCCGCGCCGCGGCTTCAATGACATCTCCAAAGGCAAACGTTCGATGCCCGAACCTGATGCGTGTTGTTCTTCACTCAGATATTAACCATCCCAGTGAAAGCTCTGATCGCGGTGGGCACATTATCCAGCTCGCCCAAACACATCGTTTTACCACCTACGTTTCCGGTGAGAAAATATCAGAACCTCTTCACGGGGCATGTGATTGTGTGATACCGATATATACAGTCATGACATCCGTCTTCCATTCTCCAGGGCAAAGTAGTTCATCAGGGCTTCAGCATACAGAGCTCATTCACACAGAAAGTTAGACTCCAGCAGATTCGCTCACTCACAGAAGACATACGCTTTTACTACAAACGCCTGCGCAACAACAAAGATGAGCTGGAGCCCAGAAGAAAATCTAAGGTAGGATGTTTTCTCACAAGTCAAGAAACCTCGTTTTTGCCTGCAGACATGAATTGGTTTTAATTAATTTCCATTTCTTTTTTTTCCCCCCAGGTGGCAAATATTTATTTTGACGCCAGCTTACAATGTGGTGATCACTGTTATGTGGGGTTGCCATTTGTGCTCAAATGTAAGATTTTTTTGTTTTTTCTTTGTTACATATCGATTTCTCTGAGGAAGTTGCACACTTTTTTTTTTTTTTAAAGGCTAAAAATGAAATTGATGACTTGTGTTAAATAGTCCCTTATAACCATTCTCTTATGTGTTGGATAGGGTGTGAGTTCCATACATTTTCTTCTGGGATGACGTTCTCATAGACAGCAAAAAAAAACACATTTCTAAATTACTTTAAAAAGTATTAAAAGCACAGATTAAATTTTAGTTTCCCTATAGTGGTGATTCGGTCTAATTCCTTTTTTTCCTTTCGCCAGCTGAGGCTAAGCCTCACGGGCTGGTGTTGCAGGAAGATATATGGGACGCTGATGTAGATCTTCATCAGAAGCTTCTTAGAAGATGGAAAGAGCTGCAAGAACGAGAAGGACACAAGTGAGTCCAAGAGTTAGTGATCTTGGGCATTGATGACTCATTCGTACTGTAAAACTGTTGCCACAGTTACTGCTGAAAGAATGTAACAAGCTGTTTCTTTTTTTCTTTTTTTTTCTTTTCTTTTTTCTTTTTATCCTCGCTGAAGGATTGAAGCGGTCTTTGAAGTCAACACAGATCTCCAAAAAAATGTCCAAGCTAAAATTACAGCACATCTAAACTGGCCGTCTCTCGTTAACTCCTCCAAGCGAATTACATTTCCTTTGACGAACACAAACAGCTCCTCGGTGAGTGGAAACCATTTTGCTCTGATCTGTACAAAAACACTGCAACTTTTTTTCTTAATGAGAAATATTTTCTTGTTTTCCTGCAGAATGAGGTAGTTATTTTACAGAACCCTGCTGACGTCCCCGTCTACGTTCAAGTTCTCCCTTTGGCGCTGTTGCCCAATCCCTCTGTGTTTTCTGGAAAACTGGCTGACAGGTTTGAAAAAAAACAAAACAAAAAACTTTCCCAATCCCTCATGCTCCATCGCATTCTGACAAGAATTTATTTTGCAGGTTTCCTCTGGGAAATTTGTCCAACATTAACATTGACACGAACACCTTGGAGTTCCAGGTTCACAGAAACCACGTGAGTGTCGATTGACGTCACTCGTGACGTCGCTCGTGGATTTCAAGAATCAGCTGCTTCTCTGTGTCCGCAGCTGAGGCAGCACATGGATTGGGTTTGTCTGTAACAGTCCCTCCGTTTGTTTGGCAGACTTCCTTAATGAAGACCAGCACTGGGTTCATAGAGGGCTCAACAAGACCATATGTGTATAACCTCCTCCTGCAGCCCGGTGAAGTGAAGTCATTCAGTGTGAAGTTCACTCCCATTAGCAATCACAGCGTCTCCTCCCTTCTCATAGTCAGGTATTTTCTGTTGAACCTTTTTTTTTTTTTTTTTTCAAGTTGGTTTATAGGTGTGGTTTCATTCTTAAACTTGCTTTCACCCTGTTAATCTGTGAAGGAACAATCTGACCGTGATCGACACGATCATCCTTCACGGGCGAGGTACAACAGAGAGTCTGAAAGTTGCTGGGAAGCCTCCAGGACAGGGCAGCTCACTGAGGTTTAAAATAACTGAGGGACTCCTGAAAGACTGCACAGAAAGTGAGTTTGGATGATGGAAAAGATTCTAAAACATGCAAATTAAAAACCTAAACCAACTATTCCTGTTTTTTGCCTGTCATGTGCTTGTGTTATTACATGGTCTTCATATTCGTTTGTTTTTCTTTTGCATAAACTCAGTGGCCGCTGACATTGCTATTAATTTAAATGATATTTGTTTACTGCAGGAGTCAAGGTCAAAGAGCCAAATTTCTCCCTCAAAAGAACATTCAGAGTGGAGAACACGGGCCTGCTGCCCATCACGATCCGATCTGCAGAAATCAACGGACAGGTCTGCGAAGGATACGGCTTCAAGGTTCTCAACTGTCAGGAGTTTGTGCTCAAACCAAACGCTTCTAAAGACCTCGTCATCCTGTGAGTATGTGTGCAGGGTGGTGCTTCATGTTGAAAGGACATTAATCTGCTGGCATCATTTGAACTCCGTCGGACTCATTGTTTGAGGGCCATGACTAAAATACAAAATATGTTTTGGTTTGGTTTGGGCACGGCATTTCATGTTAGACCAAGTAGCCAACCAACCAGGAAATACATTTTGGTCTGACAAAATAAATTGGTGAAAAAGACGCTTCCAGGCGTTCATAGGTTCAAGACAGAGACACGGGCATGGTTAACTCATCTGGCAATGTTACCCAGAAGACCCTAAAGGTGCCCTTTAAGTGCCTGTCCACAAGTGCCCCAATCTCTGCCATCAGGTGACCTAATACTCTGCAGTTGAACATAAACAAATGTCAGGTGAACATGAATGAACACAAAAATTAAAAAAAAAAAAAAACCATATGTAAGGAGGATATTAATACCATTTGAAATCAAATCAATGAACACGATAAAATCCGCACAGGCCTAACACAGACATGTTCGGTTGTGTAAGTGTGTAATCTCATCATTAGTCAGGATATCTAAAAATACTCAGCTAAGAGAATGAATCAGCTCTTCGGCCTTCCTTATTTGTCTGCACTGGTCTTTAGGTTGACACAAGTCGACGTCCACAGATTCACGGCGAGATAAATGTGCTTGGTGTGTGGACAAAAAAAAAACAAAAAACACTAGGGTGTGGTAGTACTAATTAGATTTTTTTTTTTTTAATTAAAAGTAATTGAGACAGTAGTTGCTGAAATATTTGTTTTGCTTGAAGTGAGGTTGCGCAAAACACACAGGGCTGTAGCTCATAAACACTAGTAGTAGTAGTGTGTAATTATAAGACATCGTAAAACCACAGAAACATGAACATAAGCAGCGTGTAGCACGTGCTGCCGGAGGCCGGATGGTACATGTAGAAAGAGGATCTAATACTTCACACTTTGAATCCACTTCCGTGGTTGTACCTTGCCATAAATCTGTTTATCACGTGCCTTTAAAATAAAGTACGTTTCTGAAGAGACGGGCACCGTTAGACCTACTAACTGTGAACAAAGGACTGTTCTACGTATTGCAGTTGAATTGTTCTTATTTGTTAGACTACTTTTGAGAATCTTCACATTCATTCTTCACTGATCTTTAAACTTTTCTTTATTGAAGCTGAAGAAAAATGAATTAAAAAAACAATACCCACCTTAGAAATTTTTAGGGGCTTGGAGCAAAGTGCAGAGCATACACAGTTTAGTATGAAAACTAAAAAATAAATATTAAATAAAATAAACAGTAAAACAAAACAAAACAAACTTTTTTTTTTAAAGACAGATTCCTAATTTAATTTTTTTTATTATTGAGAATTGGTCTGCCAACCAACTGGGCTTCGGCCAATGATATTTGACTTTTTTTTTTTTTTTTTTTTTTTTTTAATTATGTGATTATTTTTACTACAGCAAAGTAGTAATTTAACTTTGAATAGACTAGTTTTTGTTTAGTTTTTTTAATGTCATAGAAGAAAACCACCAGAGTGGGACACACATACAGTTTGTTTCCTCTTCAAAATGAACTTTGACAACATTTTAATATAAAAAAAATATGTGATCAAAACACAAAACACCCAAAAATACATCCCTAAATCTCCATATCATTTAAACTAAATGTATTTTATGCAAACACACGCACACACCTGGTAGCAGTCACCTGGTGGGGAACATTGTAAGCTAAGCTGCTATCTGCATTCATGGCATATCGTAGCGATAACAAAACAATGTGTGAATTTGAGCGTGATGTACTGCTCCGTGGTTAACAACAGATTAGTATCTTGGGAGAGTGAATTTTCTTTTTTTTTTTCCTCCCTGTCCTTACAGGTTTACACCTGATTTCACTTCATCTCGTGTGATCCGCGAGCTGAAGTTGATCACCTGTGGAGGCTCAGAGTTTGTGTTTGTCCTGAATGCGTCTCTGCCGTACCACCTGTTGGCTACATGTGCCGAGACCCTTCCCCGACCAAACTGGGAGCTGGAGCTCTACATCATAGTTTCCCTTATTATGAGGTAAATGTGAATTCGGGAAGTAGACAATCTTTGTGTTTTGTTTTTTTTTTATCTCAGAGTGTCCTACAAAATCTATGAAATATTTCAGAAAGCTCCTCTTCAAATGTTGTAAGTGGCTTTTTTTCATTCAGGTTTTGCAAACAGAAACAATATTTACTGTTACTGCACTGGTTTGGAGCCAGAGAGACTTGTTATAGCAAGTCAAGGCAACATGGAAGTCACAGGAACACACTATCTTGTCATAATCATGGAGAATTTTTTTTTCTTTGTTTTCTTCTTTGTTTTCCAGCACCATGTTTTTGTTGGTGATTGCCGCAGCCTACCTGGAGGCTCAAAGCATTTGGGAGCCATTTAAACGACGTTTATCTGTGGAATCCAATACCTCTTTGGAGACCGGGAGACCATTTAATCTCAGGGAGATTGTGCAATTCCAAAATGATTCAAAGTGAGTGTGATATAGTTACATTTAAGTATAATTCTTCCTCTTTAATGAAGGGATCCTTTAAGAAATTTGAGAGAGCAAACGATATCAATCTACCCTTTAGGTTCAGGTTTGAGCAGAATCTGTATGTTGATATCCTCGATGATCTGATCATTGAATTTGACAGTTTCAACACTTTAAAATGTACATACATTAGACATACATATATGTACATTTTAAGTTATCTACAAGATACAAGACATGAACAAGACATGTTCATTAAAATGTTTAACCAATTATGTCAATTGTAAAGCATATATATCTTTATATACATATATATGTGTATAAACATATATGTGTATATCTACATATGTGTGTATATACATATATATGTGTGTATGTATGTGCATATACATATATGTGCATGTATATATGTATATATGTGCATACATATATGTATATATGTACAGTATATGCTGCAGGGAGACCACATAATGTCTTTTATATACTATATATATATATACATATATATTCAGTTCTTTGCAGCAATGCAACTGCAAAGAACACATTTTTACATAAAGGCCGCAGCGGTAATGTAACAAATATTATCCTTTTCGCAGATTAAACGATTTTGATTCAACTCCGAACTCTAGAGGATTATGTTCGTCCAGCAACGGAGCAGCCCGCATTGGAGGCCGACATGGCAACAGTCGGTACCTACCAGACTCGGACAGCCAAGATAAGAGGTCCAGAATGAGCTTTGGCCGCTCAGCTATGCAAGCTGCTTCCTCCCAGCTTACCAAAGGAAGCACAACCTCAGGCAACGAAGGTCCACCTGCTCCCAGCCAACTCACAAACCGCAAATCTCGGAGCACCAAGCAGGCGGATCTCCATAATCAGAGTTCGGCGGGCTCGTCACCACCCCAACGGGGGCTCTTAACTGAAGAAGCGGAATTTGAGAAGCTAATAGGAGCCATGGACAGCGACCTCGATAGACCTGTGACAGTCTCTGCTGAGGCGCCACAGGATGCCAGCTGTCTGTCCATACAAAATAAAGGTACAGGTGTTGTTTGAATTACAAAAGAACCGAGAATAATCACGTGTGTGTTTGTAAAAACATCCCGTTATTGTTTGCAGTACTGGAGTCCAAGGGGAAGCTGAGGGCAAAAACAAAAGCACAAAGAAAGAAAGAAGAGAAAGAGAAAAGATTGTCGTCAAAAACACAGGGGGACGAGCTGAAAGAAAACATGGCCGACAATGACGACAGCTCCTCCACTACCACAGAGACCTCCAACCCCGATCTGGAGACAAACATACGGGAGGTAAATGTCGACGCTACATCCAGCTTCAAATCTACTGAGCAAACTGTAGAGACGATGTCAACCTGACCGTGGCAACAATGTTTTTCAGGAACCGGTAATAAAGAAAGGAAGGACGGCAACTTTTCCTAAAGTAAAAGAAGAAACTTCATCCTTAATAATCAAACCCAAATCAAAGAAACAAATCATTCCAAAGAAAGAACCCCAAGCAGAAAAATCCAGGTGTGCGCTTTATTCAACATAAACAACTTTTCTTTTTTTTTTTTAACACCATGGTTTTAACAATCTCCTTCCACCCCCCCCAGTTCTCTGGAGTTGCCGTATGTCCCCCCCGCACCCCCCAGTTCTCTGGAGTTGCCGTATGTCACGCGTCTGGAGAACAAACAACGCAAAAGTTTCACACCCAAAAACTTGCATCCTCTCACCAACCTGCCAAAGTCCAAACCTCTGCAGAAGCAAAGATGTGAGTTACGTTGTGCTACAATACAACAACTCTGCCTTTCAGCTTCTCTAAACAACCGCACTTACTCACCTGTTTGTTTTTGGCAGCAGATGGGAAGCTGGACGACGGGCGTCCCTCCATTTTGGCAAAACTGTTGTCCACCGGCTCGGCACCTGAACCGGGACACAGCAGCAGCTCTGAAGGCGAGAAAGAGTTTGCTTCTCCAGAGTGGGATGTGCCTCTTCCGAAAAACAGCATTCGTGAGTAACCACCCTGTGAAGTTGAGCCTTTTTTTATTATTATTATTATTATTATTTTCCTGAAAACTAAAATGCTGTTCGCCTTTGTTTTGAAGCGGAAGCAGACAGTCTCCAGCAGCTGTCACTCCAAACGTTGAATGCAGACCTGTTCTTGAAGAGATCTGCCACAGCCGGGGCCTGTTCACCACCACCACCCACGTCCCCCAGTCTGCTGTCCCGAGGGACCTACAGCAGCGTACTCAACAGCAACAGGTGTTTGCTCATGAACAAAACTGACACGCATATATTCATGTTTTAACAAGATGAATCAAAATGTTATGAGAATTGAATACCAATTTTGTTGACCAATGAATGCATTTACAGAAAGAGATAAGAAAGACATAAACCTATTTTTTAATCATAGCTTAGCACTCAATGCTAACAAAAATCAAGTTATCATTTTATGTATATATAGCCAAACTGTCTAATACAGGGGTGTCGAGCTCATTTCCACCAGGGGGCCACATCAGCAATACAGTTCCACTTGAAGGGCCGGTTGTAAATGGAAGACTGTATAGATCAGGGGTCACCAACGCCCGGTCTGCGGACCAGTACCAGTCCATAGGTCATTTGGTACCGGGCCGCAGTGGGACATAGTTAAAAAATGTGCTTAATTTTTTACTAATTTACTTAATTCAAAGAAAAAGCCCAGTCATATCCGTTTACTTTCTTTATTTAAAGATGATCAATTAAAAAAAAGATGTAATAAAAAACCTTTTAATTTCTCAGGTTAAGCTCCCGCGGGCCACACAAAACGGCTTGGCGGGCCGCATTTTGCCCCCCGGGCTTTCGGTTG